TCCATTGCAGTATGCCACTAGACCTGTCACTTCAGAGGCCAGGGATGGTGTCTGAAAGGCTGGTGTTATAAATAGAGAGAAAAGGATTGTTATAATAGTCTCTGGTCCAAGGCTGTAGTGAAAATGGGCATGTTGAACTGAAGTTGAAATGAACTCCTTCTAGCATTTCTAAACTGATTGAGTGGGTTGGTGAGAGAAAGGAATAGAAGGTCTATTATAACCCTTTTTCCCTCTGTTTTCCTGCTAACACTGTCTGACAATGAATCCCCAGGATATATAAAGTTTTCAGGTTCACAAGGGCATGGAAGGACCTGGCTTGTTACAGGGCAACAGGAGAAAATGAAGTGCACTAAAAAGTGTATCTCTATTTTCTTATAGTGTGGGGGTAGTAACTGATATCTTAAAAATAAATGAAAAAGGCGCAATATGACAAGCTTTTGAAATCAAAGTCATTCTCAATGCAGTCAATAGCAAGCCTCTATTATTTGTCCCACTAAGAAGACTTTTTTTTTTTGCAAGTCTGTAGCTGGTAATATAAAGAGGGAATTAAAACAACAGAAGCTGCCACAGACTATTTTTCTCAAGCCTTATTTCCTCAAAAGGAAAGGGCTTGCAATTTCATCTGTCCAGCCTATGTAAACAAGATCTGATAACATGAAAAGTGTCTTCCATCTCTTTGTTTTATGAAAGGAATGTTTTTCCAGATCTGTTGCTTAATCCCAAGCTCTGGCAAAGCAAGACAAAACTCTGTCCAGCCTTCCAAATCCCAACAGTCTGCCAAACCTATTGTTTTCTAGGATTCTTCGAAGTTGTCTAAATGTGTAATTTCATGGGTCATTGTTAAATTTTATAATGATTCCTCTAAGCAATTTTTTATTCCAATAATTCCAGTCCATAAAATTTCCCATCATTAGAAACTGGATAAAACAAAAAACCCAGAACAACACTAAATTGTTTCATTTGCAATACTTATTTGAGTTCAAAATAACATTTAAGTTACTCCTATTCTCATCTACATCCAAAAAGTTCTGTTCCTGGGCAGCTCTGTTCTCTGTCATAGATTGTTATTTGTGCTTTCCTGTAAAAATTTTGAGATTTGTCTGTTTTATAGCTATTCCCATGATGATAATTTTGGTTTCTCTCCTTATAAACTGTCATGCATTTCAGCACTCTGCCTGCTAAATTTTCTTATTTGGCAGTCTCACACTGAAAACAGTTAAGCTGTTCTTCATGAGCAGCACTTTTCTACAATAGCTTAAAATATATATCCCTGTTCAGTAAGTGTTTAATGATTTTTTGTCTTTCTGAGTTTACAATCCTGTTTTTGTAATAAGTTGCATTTTGCTGTTTGTTGAAGATGCATTCTGTGGCAGTACACCGGGAAGGAAACAGACATCTAGTTACTGACATTTCAAGCAGCACCGTTCAAAGGCAGATATGTTGTCCTTTTAAGACAGCAGCTGACAGCTTGCATTACTCAGGTAGCTCTTCTTTCATCACAGTTATTGTTCTGTCTTTAAACTGCTCAGTTATGTGTCCTGTGACCTTGTGAGCTGTTAGTATAAATGGGAAGAAGTCCCAAGCACTGGATTCCCCCCTTGAGAATCAGCCCTTGATATCTGGCATCTCTGCTCACTGGCACATTGATTGCATAGCAATTAATCTTGAAGTCTGATTAAGCTGGTGAACACTGCAATTCAATATATTTGCCACCTTACCACACTAATTAGGGAAGAAAATCCAATGTGCCATGCATCATGCTGGGTTATTCTCCTGATGAAACCCATAGTGAGCCTTGTAATCTCTCCTTTTTCATATTGAACTTCATAAGCACTGATTGAGCCAGTGGTAGTCATGGACTAAATTACAGTGTTCCTAGCCAAGGCCCAACCAAATTCTTTCCTACCAAGTGAGACTTGGTATTATAAACATCATTAAGAAATCAATGCCAGAAGAAAGTATCATTCCCTCTGCAGCTCAAAAGTATCTTCATCCATAATGGTGTCAGTACTTCACCACTAAACAGCTCACAAGTCTCAGTGATTATTTGGACAGAAGACGTAATTTAATCAGACATATTCTTAAATTGCTTCACGTGACCTACAGAGACGTCAGCAAAGAACAAATACTTAAAAAATTCCCTAAAATGCCCAGTTAACCTCACATATGTAAGATGACAGTGTTCATATTGGAGATTTTTGCTACGTTTTTGAGTTTTACTTTTTATATTAAGCCATTAAGTAAAGCAAAGAGGCTTGGGGGCAGATCTATTTCAGTTTCTTGGCCATGTTTAGCAAGTGCATTAATTTCCTCCTATTGAAATTGTGAGTTAAGGACTATCAATCCTTCTGCATCTTGGAACATTAAACATTGCTGCTCATTTTCAGCTCCCTTTCTACGTGTGACTCAAATGTTTTCTTGAAATGTAGACGATTTCCTGGGGCTCTTACCATGGCATAAGGCACTACCAGATTGCAGAGGGTGCCACAGGGTGGTCATCTCAAGGCAACCTTCCAGATGGAGAGAGACAGTGATTTGGAGAGATGGCTGACATCTTCATTGCTGAGCTAAACCTTCGCCTGCCCTCAGCAGCGGGTAAACTGCAACTGACTGTGGGAGTTGCAAGAGCAAAGCAAATACTTTACTCTTAAACCAAGTAAACAACCATTTAGAACAATTTTTCACTATTCTAGTTGTAGAATTTATAAACACCCTTTCACCTAAATGTGACACTATTATCAGGAAAAGCAGAGAGAAGTGCCAGGGACATGTGAACACAAGACTCCACTTTAACCTAAGATATATCTATTCCTGCCCTGTGCAACCTTTCTCCAACAAACAGCAGAACTGAAACATCAAATATTAGCAATGTTTAGAGAATTAAGTGTAGTCAATCTATAGAGTATAAAAACCATAACAATAAAAAGTGCTAATAATTTTAAACAATGGATAGATTCAAATAAATCCAAATCTGCTCATAGGTTTTCTGTGAGACAAATATGCCTAAGCTATCCGTGTTAATTATTTATTATAAATTACACGTCTGCCTTTAGATTGCTACGAGAAAGCATTACAGTATGGTCTGTGACCAACCTGAAGGGTCAGTGACATTTTAGGTGCTGTTGTAGATGTAGAAGGACACAGGTCCCTCATAAATACCATACTGCCAATCCCATATGGATGTCCCAGACACCCTGGAGCTTTTTCACATCAAAGGACATTAGATGCCTCTGTTAAGACCTCTGAAAGAAATGTCAGATATCACATTTGGCCCACAGTCATCCACTCTGCGGGACAAGAGTATGCCCAAATCTTGTGCCACATCTGCCATATGGATGTCCTGGAGAGCTGTGCAGTGTCACAGGTGCATCCTAAGCCCCTCATCAACTCAGTGGAGCACAAGAAAGAATTTAGCAGACCAACCAGGCTCTTGGAGGAAGACAAACCTTGCTCTGAGCTCCAGATATGTTGTCTTAGATTTTTTTACATTGAATGTAGATTTTTCTAGTGTTCCCTTATAACAAGTGCATATAGCATACAGGCAGAAATAACAATGGGCAGACATTTGCTGTGAAATTTAAAAGTAATTCTAAGATACCCAAACTTTTAAATTAGAGAATGTGATATTTTAGCATTATTTCAGCTTGATTATTATGCTATCTTTATCACATTCTATAACCTGTCTGGCTGGTGTCATTTTTCTTACTACAGATTCAAAAGTCCACTTCAAAGGCGTTGGTTTTCTAAAGATAAAGTCACAAAACAACTGTTAGAAGTGATTGTGAGGCTGGAGTAAGGGGACTATGGCTACTAAGTGAAAATTGATACTTGTGAAGTTTTAACAAAGCATACCTGGGTAGGACAGATGATGAATTTCTCTTTAACATTGTAAATGTGGTCATCACTCTTTGCTTTTAGAGTAAACTGTGCTTTCTGCTTTACAGTATCCAAAATGGCCAAGACTTAGGGATGATGCAATTTCTATTCCCAGTTTTGTAGCAAATTAGATCAAGGCAGGGAATTATGAAGGTAGCTGTTATTTCACTATGATTTTCTTTCTGTGTTCTTTGATTACCCAAAATAATGGCTGTCTGATCATAGAAAATGCCATTTCTTTGTAATGTTGTTACAGTTACCCCATTCAGAGCTAAAACAAGCAGGTTAGAAACTATACCTACTATGGTACAGCAAGGAAGCTGAAATTATCAGCTTGCACAAGTGGGACAACAGAATTTTGAGTGCAACAGCAAGCCAGGAATATTAACAAAACATTTACTACAGGTAGTTCATTTTGTATTGTTACAGGATGTTGACTTCAGTTTTCATTAGAATTTTTTTCTTCAGTGCTCAGAAGTTACCACTGATATTCATGCTCTGAAAATTAGGCTTCTTTAATGATTTTAGAAATTCAGAGATGCTTGTTAACTACTGTATTTAAGGGGAAATTTTTTACACAGTACTGAAAAGGTCACAAATATTGGAAGTTTAAGAATTTATCAGAAATCAACTTTTAACTTCAGTAAATTTAAAATTCATTATATCAGCCATATGCAGTCGACTTGATGTATGCCTGGCCAAATATCCTGAGGTGCTTCAGAAAAAGAAATAATCTTTCTCATTCTTTTTATCAAAGACAGCAGCTCTAAGATAGGAATATTATCTGAGTTGCTGTTATGAGTGACAGCAAAAGGATGCCAAATTGCTATTACAGCAGCCTACTCAACCAGAATGGAATTCCTCATGACACAAAGTCCTTGGTGTATAATAAATTAAGCATATGAAAACACATTTCCAAATATTATACTGCTCATATCTGGTATAACATCCCTTGTAAAAAATACATTAATGCAACCATGGCAGAATTTGGAACACCCTCAGCAAACTGAAATAATGTAGCAACAGTAGGAGTGCTTCTGAATTTGGTTCATTACTGCACCATAGTACTGAGTTACCATTACCTATGAGCAAAATTTTTTTTGCAATAAAATATTGAAACTTACCTTTTATTTTGAGTATTTAAACAACTCAGGTTTCCTTGTAGATCAAACTTTTTTTCCCCGTTTCTTGCTGGTGTTTTTATCCCTGAAGTATTTCTGTTTCTGAAGTCTCGAATAATTTTTCTGGAGTTATGATAATGACTAAGTATTTTTAATTTGTGTCATTTAATTTAGCAATTAGAGCCCTATCATGTAGCAGCACAAAGATACTGTTTTAATATCTCCCCAAAACTATCATCATTTCTATCACATTATGTACTTGCCTGCTGTTCAAATAATGGACTCTCTTTTCTCCTTTCCCTTCACTCTCTAGAGAGCAGCTTGAAGTGCAACTTGTTCAAGTAGAATTTTAGGTTATTTTTTCTCTGCATTTGATCCTCGTTTACACTGTAAGAATGTGAAGAAGTCTGAGTAGGAATTTGCAAATTATTGACATGGGAGTGCAATTCAATGGTCCTTATGCTCTTAGATTACCCAGGTGCCATTGAGTAATCTGTGTATGTCAAAAACAAAAACTCAAAATAGAACACAGCTGGCTGTGCAAGATGCTGGCAGAAAAGCAACTGGGTGTAAACAACCCATGAATAAATGTGTGGATATTACAGGAAGGTTTCAAACACACAGACCAAGACGAACTGCCACCACCACTGCGACATGGGATTGGCTCTAACAGAGGGCTGGACCCTTCAGACCTCTAATATTCTGAAACCATCAAACAGAATTCTGTCTTTCTTCTGCTCTCCTAAAAACTTAGAATGAGCAAATACATACTTCAGGGGTGTGCTGCAATACAGAAATGGGCTGGAAAGATTCAGTGCCCTTGTGAAATATGGAGAAAGTAACCACCTTCCATTTCCAACACTGCTTTGCCAAAACTCCTGTGCAGACTGATTTTTCTGAGTTTTTAGGTTTGACCACTGTTCTTACCAAGTGTCTGGACACCTGCCACTTTTACCAAACATTAACATTTAACCTACAACTCTACTGAATAGCTAACAGACTCAAACTTCTTGGAAATGAAAAATACATTCCTTCATAATAATGACCTGAGGCACATGATAGTTCTGTGCCCCCAGAGGCTTCACTTCCTGAGTGCTAGTGGGCCTCAGATAATGCACTGTAAACTCCCTTTTTTTTCCTCTCAAGATTAAATAAGGAAGAAAATGTAGTCATTCCAAGAACTGACGTAATTCACTGAAATTCGTTGAGTTCTATGCAGGAGTTAAATGAGAACAAGTCTCCTGATAATTTCTCTTTACAAGGAGGAAAAAGTATTTCTAGTAGTGTCGTGTAAGGATAGAATTACCAGTAGCATCACATTAAAAGCAGTCTTTTCTAGGCAGTTTAAAATTGTGAATTTACTGATATTTACTTACATAATTATGCAGAGCAGAAGGAGAGCTTCAGCAAGAAATGAAGTCATACAAAGGCAATTAATTTAATTTAATTACAAGGATTTTCATTTAATTGTCCACTTTAAGGTTCTTTGCATGGGTCAGAAATCTGCTCAACTAAATCCTTTTTGTCCCAGCCTTATCTTACCCAGACATATCTCAGTGCATCCTCTCTTCAGATTTAAATATTTGCATATTCAAGTTGCTGCACTGAAATGTCTCCCCTAGTGGACTCGCGCAATTCTAAGCATCCATCAGCCACCCAGCCCTCACTATAATGCAGGCAGAGTTGTGCTTATGGGGAACTGAAATACAGTCAGTCAGTCACCATCTGGTTTCAACTGAACAGGGGGGGGAAACCTCAATTAATAAGAGAAGGAGGAGGCAGTGATAACTTCTGGAAGAAGTGATAACCTCCAAACTACACTTATTCAACACAAAAACTGCCAATATGGTGCTCAGTGCCTTTTTATAAACCTCAACCATACGATCACAGTGCCCTCTATTTTGACTATAAATGCTTCAGGATGTGTTTACAGAACAAACATACTGTCACAGAATCACAGAATCATTTAAGTTGGAAATGTCTTTTAAGATGGAGTCTAACTGTTAATGTAGCACTGCCATGTTCACCACTAAACTGTGTCCCTAAGTGTCATCATCCACACATTTTTCAAACACTTCCAGGAGATTTCATTACTTTTCTGGGCAGTCTATTCCTGACCAACCTTTCAGTGGAGAAATCTTTTCTAATATCTGATTGAAACCTCACCTTGCACAACATGAGGCCATTTCCTCTCATCCCGTTGCTTGTTCTTTGGGAGAAGTAATCCCCACCTGGCTACAGCCTCCTTTCAGGCAGTTGTAGAGAGTGATACAGTTCTCCCTGAGCCTCCTTTTCTTCAGGGTGAACAAGCCCAGCTCCTTCAGTAGCTCCTTGTAAGACTTGTATCCAGACCCTTCACCAGTTTTGCTGTCCTCCTCTGGACAGGCTTCAGCACCTCAATGTCCCTCCTTCACAGAGGGGCCCAAAACCGAACATGGGATTTGAGGTGCAGACACACAATCCTAAGTACAGGCTTGGTTTTTTGACAAAGCTTCCCTCTTCAGAATGGTCAGTACCTCAGCAATCCAAATACAGGGATCCATACTGCTCCAAAGCACAGCAGCTGAATCACTGGAAAAAGCCCCTTGCCTTTCCCACTTGACAGTACAAGTACACTTGCCAAAGCAGCAGAAGCATGTGGCTGATACAGAAGAGCCCATCCTGGCCTGTCACTCCAGTACAGGTGCAGTAGGGTCTGAGGTGCTTCTCCTTTCACTCAGTTGTATTCAGTACCAATCCACTGCCATAATCTTAGTTATTATTCTGACTTTAATGAAGTGGTTTCTTTAGTATGCAGTGATGAGTATTCTCTGAAAATGAGAGCTCTCGTTATTTCTGTTTCAAGGTGAGACACAGGAGAGTGGACTTGCAGTGGCTGGCCTGTAACCAATAACCTGTGAATGATGTAGTAATGATTTATGAAGTCAAGAATTTGTGGAGAAGGTGGGTTACGTACATAATTAATGATTTCTTACTGACTCCTGTCATTTGGGAACTAGAAGGTATCAAGTGAGATAATCAGATGGCAAACTCAAAACCAGTGAGGTTCTTCACATAGTCCCCAGGCAAAATTTGGGCAGCACAGTAGGGTTTTTTGGTTGGCATAAAACTTACCTGACCAAACCACACATTAGGAAAAAAACTATGGAACTGAAAATCTATCCTGGAGGACCCTGAACTTCATTGCTGGAAGCTACAAGACAACATCAGAAAAGGTCTTTGCTGTTAGGCATTCACTTTAGATCAGACTGTGAATATTTTATTGACACCAAACCTTTGCTCTGATTCATATCCCATGGCTATACTACACATCCAGAAAATGTGCCAGAGCTGTGAATAATTCTTAGCTGTCCAGAATCTGATAAGCTGAATATATATTCCTGACCTAAATGACAGAAGGTAGAATAAGAAAATTAAACTGTCAAAAAGGGCCAATTTAAAAGGTGATGCTAACATGGTGAAGTGGATAAAGGTCAGTTTGCACTGTTGCCTGCACTTTTCTTTCTGCTCTACTCAGTGCTTCTTTGCACATCCTAGGCACTAATCTTATCAGGTTCTGTATTTCCTTGTCATAAAGGATGATAGCATGGTATATATTTGAAAGGTTTTTCAGGGTTTTCAAGAAAGAAAAGAGGCCTTTAAACCCCAAGGACAAAGGATTAAAATGAAAATATTCAAATGAAGTAAGTATGAATAAAACAGCGACAGGAACTGGGCCTTTAGAAGTGTTAGCTTTAATAAAAAAAAAAAAGAAAGCCATTTTAGGTGTGTCTGTCTAGGTATTATGTCTCTATGGCATACACCCAAGATTGTTGTTGAAAAGTGTCTTTCACTCCTCCAGCACATTAAGATAAAGTGCTACATCTTACATTTCCTACTGGTATATAAAAGCATCAGAGAACCAAGAAGGTATTTTAAAATGACATGCATCGACTTGTATATTGATACTAAGATTGTTTTCTATACCGTCTGCAAGCAAAAATCACAGAACTATGGTGTTTCCATAGCAACTGCATTTTAATAAGGTGAAATTTCCAGTTTGATAGCGCTGAACAAGTAATAATGTCAGTTTCCAATGTTGCAGAAGCTCAGATGTCAGGAAGGTTCAGTATAAAACACAGGGCTAAAATTGATTCTTTGCAACATCCATCTTTATTGCTATTATAATTTTAGGAAAAGCCAATAAAACATATTATTAAAACAGTAACCTTATTTTTCACACACTTCTCATATCATGAAGCATCAACATTTGAAATATGTCAATTTAAAGCTTATTCATACGCCTCCATAAGAAACATCTTGCTCTTACTGATAGCTCACTTTTTACCTTTGAGCTTTTACTATGTAATACTTCAGGAGAGAGTTCTGAAAATAATTTCCTGGCAGTGGGTGTAAAAGCTCAAAAAGCTCATACACTGGCCACTGGTATATGCTGTTGTTTATCAGTCAGAACATAAAAGCTCACTAGCAGTTTTTGCTGCAAAATCATCCTGCCCTTAAGGTAAAAAATGGAATTCAAGTGAAATTTCTTTTTAAGAGCCCAGAAGAAATGACAAATTGGGATATGGCTTTTAAAGCGATAGAAGATCTTTCAAAGGCTAGACAGGTCTTTGGTTTTCATTTCAGCCCCTTTCTCTGTGTCTGTCATCTAGTAGAAGCTTTTCTTAGGAGTTACAGTGGCTTTAGGCTGGAGAGACTTGGTAAAATATGAAGCTAAAGCAGAAATTTATCCCCATGACAGGAAACCTCTTCCATGGGTTAAAGTGCAGTGTTTGCAATGTGAAGTGATGTTACTCATTTTAGAGTGGCACTGACTCCCAGAACAAGTGATGTTACAATTACTTCAGGTTGCAGTATGAGGCTGCTCTCTGCAGCCCCTCCCTTCTAGTATATATATATCCATGTACAGATTGAAAATTAAAATGAAAGAGAAAATAAAACTAAAACAGAACTGTGCTCTTCAAACACATCAAGATGCTTCTTAATAGGAAGGTACTAATGAAATTACTTATTTCCAGAAATTAAAGTTTTAGATAAAATAGGTGCTTACAATAAAATCAGAGTTGGCAGAATATGATTTTTCTGAAATTTCTGTTTATGAGATCATTTTCCCCTGTGTTTCACCATGAACCATATGGCTGCATCCATGTTAGTACGCAACCATGTCACTGCTTAAGTGGAGGACAAGAGAAGAGCTATGCACAGGCTGTAGAGTCATCTAAAAAAGCATGGCCATAGCTAAATTCCCTATTGGGATTGACTGGTTTTATTTCCCAAGTTGA